TTGTTTGAATGGCTGAGATTTTTTTATTTTTTATTTTATCCTTTTTGAATAAAATAGAACGGTTTTTTTTTTTTAAATTTATTTTTAATTTTACATTTCATTTGAATGGTTGCCCTTTTTTTTCTTCCATTTAATTTATTATTATTATTATTTTAATTGTTGTGTTTTGATTGTTGTGAAATAGGATGATGAGTGACTATAAGGTGGAGAAGTTCTATGTGGATTTTCATCGACCCAAAGACAATAAATCATCTATACACATCTCTGATTTTATTTATTTATTTGTTTAATTTTATATTTTTTGAATAAGGGAGAACGATTCGTTTTTTATTTTTAATTTTACATTTCATTTGAATGGCTGAGATTTTTTTATTTTTTATTTTATCCTTTTTGAATAAAATAGAACGGTTTTTTTTTTTAAAATTTATTTTTAATTTTACATTTCATTTGAATGGCTGAGATGATTTCTAATCAATATCTAATGGTTGAAGTATGTGCAGTGATTTTAGGATTGGATCCGTGTTCTTGCAGATTAATTTTTAATTGTTGTTGGTGTTGTGATGATCTGGGGTGTTGTGAGTGCATATTGTTGTTGTTGTTGATTTTAGAATTGGATCTGCGTTCTTCTTGCTGATTAACTTTTAATTGTTGTTGGTGTTGTGAGTGCATATTGTTGTTGTTGATGATGAATGATGATGAAATAGATAAGATACATGTATATGACTTGATCTGTGCAAAGTAAATATTTGTAGCTAAAATTTGTACATATAAAAGGCTTTGATTTGTCCAAATTGATGATCATGATGAAGAGGTTGAAGAGTGTAGCAAAGAGGTTGAAGAAGTACTTGGAAGAGGCATATACAAATCTATTTCGTTTCTATTTTTTTGATGTTTTTTCTATGATGATGAACAGATAGGATTTGGTGATTATGTTGTTGATTAACAGATAGGATTAGGTACGTGCTTGGGAATGATTTGGATTGGTGTTTGTGTTTCCAAATTGGTGAGCAACTTTGTATTTGTGATACGAAGATAAGAATGAAAGGAGATGTGAGGTTGCTAAAAAATTAGTAGAGCAACTTTATTGAAATATTTAGGTGGGTTGAAAGAGTAGTTTTTTTTTTTGGAGGGGACTCATTTTGTGGTATGGTATACAATCTGATCCTTCGGTCTGAAATAATAATTGATCCTCATGAAATGGTTTTCAAATGGATTTTAACACATTCTTAAGTGATTTTTCAAATGGTTTTTAATGTTTCATTTTGTTGGATTTGTGTTATTTATTTATTTATTTATTTATTTTGTTGATTAGGTTGTTTTTCTACGATTTCGGTTTCGGTTTGTGTTTCTAATATTTATGTTTCTAAGATATCTGTTTGGGGGGTTTGTGTGATTAGGTATGCAATCAATGGAACCACTGAAAAAGTTAGAAACAAAGCTTAAGAGACACAAAGTATTGGAACAGAGCATTGAAAATCATTATGTTTCTTTTCAATCAAAGCAAAAGAGACATCAATTTGGGTTTGTGTTTCTAAGATTTGGGTTTGTATTTGTGTTGTCAGGCGAGGGTCTTGACATTGGTTTGTGGGACTGTTGACATTGGTTTGGGTCTCAACATTTTCTTTTTTATTTATTTTTTGTTTAACCCGTTTGTCTTTCACGGGTCATTATTTTTGTTTTATTTTATTTTATTTTTATTTCTATAACCCAATTTAAATTTTCATTCATAATTCATGGACTATTTCTTCATTTGTTAAAGACATGGTGAAGAAATTGAAAAGAAACAGAGTAAAGAAAGAGAGAGTAGTCGGTTTTCTTAATTGTGCTACGCATTCAAATGCTTGGCCACTATCATATTTTTATTTATTTTATGTGCTATTCAAATTGTGTTGATATATTATTTTTTTTTTCAATAGGAATGCAAAATGTGTTGATATATTATTATTTTTTTCAATAAGAATGCAAAAAAGTATGTGAAAGACAGACCCCCGCAAAAGACTGATGGCTACTTTTTTCTACCGACAAATTGCTTGGATTGTTAATGGTATTTATTTATTATTTAGTAAAACACGTAAAATATCTCAGATTGTTCAGATTGAAAACATGCAAATAGTTTAGATTAAAAATAAATCAGAAATTTAATATTTAAATTTCTAAAATTAAAAACTCAATAGCTTATTTTTTATAAGTATTAAATTCTAAGTTTTATTTTTTATTTTTGGTAAGTTTTTCTAAATTTTAATGATACCTAAAATTATTCAAACAAGATTGGCTTATGTGTGGTGGCAGCATACAATGTTTCTAATATATTCATATTCCCCAGGATTACTTAAATGTTGAGGATGCATTAAATTAATTAATTAATTGACATTATACGTAGAAATGATAATTGCATTTTAATCCCAATATTATTTACATCGTGCCTTCAGGCACGGGCATTTACTAGTAGTATATATTTAACAACAGCGCTACATACACCCAGTGGGGGTCGCGCCCCCAGTGACGTGGCGCGCCCCCACTTACAATGTTTCTAATATATTCATATTCCCCAGGATTACTTAAATGTTGAGGATGCATTAAATTAATTAATTAATTGACATTATACGTAGAAATGATAATTGCATTTTAATCCTAATATTATTTACACCGTGCCTTCAGGCACGGACATTTACTAGTAGTATATATTTAAAGATTCTAATCATAACTTAAAATTATATATTTTGTCCTTTGTTTTTATGAGTCCTACAAATTGAGGGTTGGTTTGGCAAGGGCTCATTGGGCTTTTCTGGCTCAATGAGCCATAAAAGACAGAACAGGTTCATGAGTCACAACAGACAAAACATCTCATCCAACCCCATAATCATTACACTCTTCTCTCACAAAAAAACCAAAAAAACCAAAAAGCCAAAAGTCCTTCCAAAACTAAGCTTTTGAGTCCAGGCTCATATAGTCAAAAAAGTCAAAAAGTCAACCTACTTCTCAAACGGAGGCTGAATTGATTTGATTTTAAACCTTGAAAGTGACTTTATTTTTATTTTTTTTCTTCAAATTTTCTTTGATTTTCGGACTCTACTAGCGTGGAAGGAACTAATTTGCAATCAGAAAGGTTAACAAAAGCAACATATTTTAAGGGTGTTTTTGAGAAGGTGGTTAAAAATTAATTTTTTTAATTTTTTTTGACTTTTTTTATTATTTTATATGAGAGGAAATGTGATCCAAAATTAATTAAAAATTGATTTTTGACTTTTAATTGATATTTCCAAAAGAAGCCTCGGTTTTCAAGTGCTTAGCTTCCACTAGGATGAGGTGCAAAATTTTCAAAAAATTGAGTAGTTTTATACGAAGCGAATAATTATACATAAAAATTTTATTGAATAATATGACAAGTTTTTATTTTATCACTTGAAAAAAAAGATTTGTTTATACTTGCAAAAATATTACTCACATCATTGCGATTCTTAAACTTTATATTAAAATTACATAATCAAAAAATTAAATTATTTTTAAAAAGATTTTGTTAACAAGTGTCATAAGAATGTATTAAATACTACCCTTTTATGTATTTATTTTTATTTTATCTTTTATCTTTTATCTTTTATCTTTTATTTTATTGTCTTTTTTTATCTTTTTATTTCCTACACAGATATTCTTTCATAAATTAATATATTAGATAAATATTTAGCAAATGTTGAAACACACCAATAATATTAGAATATTAATGCATTTTTTTACATATTTCAAAAATAAAATATTAATAAATGTATAAAAATGTGTGATTTTTTCTTCTTCTTCTTATAACTCTTCAACATTTTATTATGTGCCTCGTTTTCTACCACTTTATTAAGAGAAAATAGTATTTTTGATGTATTTTACATATTTGCTAACTATTTATCTAATATGTTAATTCATGAAAGAATATCCCGGTAGGAAATGAAAAGTTAAAAGATAGGAAATAAAATAAAAAGAAATACATAAAAGGGAATATATGTTTTTGTGTTGTACATTTAAAACTTTTTATTTCATTTTATATGATAATGGGCTTAGTTAATAGCATTTAATACATTCTTAACAATCCCGCTGGGTAGCTCGAATAATGGTGGCTCGAATGGCTCGAGGTGCCAAAAAGATGTCGTTTTGACACATTTTTCTTTTTCTTCTCCTTTTGTTCTTCCTTCCCCTCTCTTCTTCTAACAGTTATTCTAAGCTATTTGAATTTGTATATACCAAACAAAAATCGAACAACTCTCTTAAAACACGAAACAAAAAACTTAAAATATAAAAAAAAAAAACTCACAATTTCACTTTTTTGTTGGTCCTTTACCACAATTTCTTTGTCCATTATTTTTTTTATGATCAAAATATTATGATTTTCCTTTTTTTGAAAGTAGATGTATAATAGAAAAGAAGAAATGAGAAAAGAAAAAAAGAAGTAGGGATTGAAGTGTAATGAGTATAAAGTGATAACCAAATCTATTTAATTTTTGTCTTTTGTCCTTAAAAGTAATTTTAAACACAGATAAAATTAGGATAAATTACAAATACACCCCTTAAGGTTTGATTAAAATACGAATTGCCCTTTATGATTTAAAAAATTACAAATATCTCCCTATCAAAAAAATTTTATTTAACAAAATTAATTAAAAAAGTAAAATTTCTAACTGTTCACCGATACAATAATAAAATTATCTTAATTATTAATTGAAATAAAATTTTAACATTATTAAAAATTATTAATTAGCTTGATGATTTATTAATAAAAGGACCTATTTATTATAAATTAGAAATCTTGGGGGTATAATGAAAATTTTAAAATCACATGTGATAATTTATAAATTAAGTAAATCTCAAAAAGTGTGTTAATAATTACCTATAAAATTAAGAGAGAAAAAAAAATCTCAATTGAAAAGTATAAAGAGATAAATATGTGGGTAAATTACACTGACACCCCCTAAAGTTTATGTTTATTACAATTTCCCCACACCTTTTGGAAATTACTTCTCCCTCCCTGAGATTTAAAGATTCATTACAGATTTCCTCCTCAGCAATTTAATTTTTTTAAATATCAATTTTGCCCTCACTAGGTAAATTACATTAACACCCTCAAATTTTAGAAATTACAATCCCCTCCCTAATGTTTAAAGTAGCATTACTAATTGCTCCTACGGTTAGTATTAGTTGGAAAAAAAAATTCATTGAAAAAAATATATATTTGAAAAAAGAAATTAATTGAAAAAAAATTTGTTAGTAAAATTTTTAAATTTATGTTTGAAAACCAACGTAAACTCATTTTTTGAATTTATGTTTTTTCCTCAAATTTACAAATTGAGGCAACAATTTATAAACCAAAAAAATTATCCAACAAGTTTTTATGATAGTTTTTAAAATTTTTATAAATATAAATTGAAAATTGAAAACGAAATGTTACCAAACAAGTCTCAGATGATAAAAATGTCGTAAAATTAACAAATAATTACCAATGTAAGAAATTACTTATCAAAAGATTCTTAGGCTATGTATGATTTGATTTTTAGAAAAAAAAATTTAAAAATTATAAATTAATTTGGTTAAGAAATAAAAAATAAAAAATAATTATCATTTAAGGGTAAAAAATAATTATCATTTTTACTTTTGGGCAAGTTATATACATACATATGGTTGTTTCAATTTAAATTGTAAAAAATTATTTCTAGCCACTCGAAAGGTAAAAATTATATAAAAATAATTTTTATTTTTTATTTTTTATTTCGTAACCAAATTAATTTTTAATTTTTTTTTAAAAAAATTTAAAAATCAAACCATACATAGCCTAAGAATCTTTTGATAAGTCATTTCTTATGTTGGTAACTTATTTAATTATTTGTTAATTTAATGACATTTTTACCATCTTATGCCTGTTTGGTAACCATTTCGTTTTCAATTTTCAATTTATATTTACAAAAATTTTAAAAATTGTCATAAAAATTTGTTTGATAATTTTTTTGGTTTCTAAATGGTTGTCTCAGTATGTAAATTGGAGGAAAAAACGTAAATTCAAAAAATGAGTTTACGTTGGTTTTTAAACAGAAATTTAAAAATTTTACTAACAAAAAAGTTTTTCAATTAATTTTTTTTAAATAATTTTTTTCCAATTCATTTTTTTTTTCAATGAATTTTTTTTCCAACAAATACTAACCGAGGGGACAATTGATAATATTACTTTAAACGTTAGAGAGGGGATTGTAATTTCTAAAATGTGAGGGGTGTCAATTTAATTTACCTAGTGAGGGAAAAATTGATATTTAAAAAAATCAAATTGCTGAGGGAGAATCTGTAATGAAACTTTAAACCTCAGGGAGGGAGATGTAATTTTCAAAAGGTGAGAGGAAAACTATAATAAATATAAACCTCAGGGGGTGTCAGTGTAATTTACCCATAAAATTTTGGTACACATATATATATATATATATATATATATTCAAAATAAATTAAAATAAAATAATAAAAAATATTTGTTTAATTCTTGAAATGAGTCGGCTGGGGTTGGCTTGAGGACTAGGAATGAATTTTCAAAAAAATGGAGGGTTTACAAATTTAGGGTTTGAAAGGGAGTTTAATATATTTTTTTTCCCCTTAAATTTTCGTTGATTTTAGGATTCCACTAGCGTGGAAGGAACAAATTTGCAATTAGAAAGGTTAACAAAAGCAACGTATTTTAAGAGTATTTTGATAAGATGGTTAAAAGTTGATTTTTTAAAAAAAATTTGACTCTTTTCACTGTTTTATATAAGAGGTAATATAACCCAAAATAAATTAAAAGTTGACTTT